TGCTTCATCACAAAAACATAAAGTAAGTTTAAAAATGAGTTTTTAGCTGCTTTTTAAAAGAGACCACAGAGTCCACGGATTTTAAGCTCAGTGGGAGAGAGTTCCTGGGGAACACTGCTGGAAAAACCTCAGTCACCTTTAGTTCTCAGTCTTTTGTGAAGCAAAACCAATAGACCCTGATCACATGACCTCAGAGACCTGCTGGTGATGTATGAATGTAAAATTTGACTCATGCACACTGATGCTTGATCATGCAGAGCTCTAAAAGTCAGCGCTAGAATCTTAAAGTGCGCTCTGAAGGTTAATGGCGAGCCAGTACAACTGAATTAGTATCAGTGTGACATTTGAGTACTTGGAAGACTCAGTCAGCAGTGTCGTAGCTGCATGCTGAGCAAGCTGCAGACATGTCCGGGAAGATTTGTTGAAACAAGTAAACACCGAATTGCAAAAATCTAAAAGTGATGACATAAAGGCATGAGTATGAATTTCCAGTTTAGAGCCTGAAAGACTGAAACTCACCTGGAAAATTTTTCTCAACCGGTAAAAGCAAGAGCGAACCACGTCAGCTTCCAGGGACAAAGCTGAGTCAAAAATGACCTCAAGGTTCCTGATGGAAGATTTATCAGATGTGACAAGGGGACCTAGAATCTCCTTTACCTTAAGCACAGATATGACAGGGGCACAAACAAGGACTTCTGTTTCCTCTTCACTAAGCTGGAGAAAATTGCCATCCATCCAACCTTTAATACAGTCTAATCATTTGTGCAAGATGTCTAAGTTACAGTAGAAACATCTTGGGCTTAGAAGAGATATTTAACTGAAAGTCATCTGTGTAGCAGTGATAATAAATGTCATTTAAAAGTGCTCAAAATATGCTGAAGATGGAACAGATAGGCAAAATAAGAAACTTGTGACACGCAGTAGGCAAGAGAAGTGGAGAATCATGTCATGGTCAGCAGTATCAAAGGCAGAGGTCAGGTCCAGCATCAGCAAAACAACATTCTCCTGCATCGCTTTGCATAGAAATGTCACTGGAGACTAAAGAGAGCTGTTTTGGTGGAATGAGCTCTATGAAAGCCAGATTTAAATGTACCAAGAATGCTGCATTTGTGTAAAAGAGATGTATGCTACTTAGTCTCAACCTTTTCTAAACTGCTACCAATTAACAGTAATTTTTAGATTGGTGTATAACTGTGAGGATGAGAAGAGTCAAGTTTTTATTTTTTATTTTTTTTAAGTGATTGAATGGCATCTTTCTTAAAATAAGCAGGGACTTGGCAGTGAAGCAGTGAAGCACTAGTTATATAGAGCACACGGGGGCCGATAGACTGAAAGACAGTTTTGAACAAAGATGCAGGTAAAATGTTGAGGATGCTTCGAATCAACTACTATAAATAGTGGCTCATTCTAATTTCTGCTACTTGTATTCACAGTCTCCTTCTTTCAGTCAATACTCTGAGGTTGGGTCCCTAGGTAAGGGTGGAAATGCACATCGATAGCTTTGCTTTCACACTTAGATCTCTCTTTACCACAACAGACTAGTACAGTGTCAATCTCCTGCACCACTCTTTTCTCACTCATGAACAAGACTCCAAGATACTTAAAACCACAGGGCCTGGATGGGCACAGCCGAAAAGCAGTACATCAGCAATCCCTCCTGTGGGGCCATCACTTGCAGAAAGGGGCTGTAGGAGTTCGGTGTTTTGTGGATTGGACAGTAGTTGTGGTGAAGGTCCTGGCACTCTGATCCCTGGTTAATAAATCTGGCTTTAGGAAAATGAAATGTCACTCATGACAAGAACTGTTAAAAAAAAAAACATGGAAATTCTTGCCAGATAAATGTAAAATGGCAAATAAATTCAAGTTAAACTTAAGATAGTATTTTCTGAGATCTTTAAAACAGCTTGCTTGACTCCTGAGAATAGGTGTCAGAGGAATGTGCAAGTTATTTTTAGGAATGTATTCCGAGCAGTTAGTGATTCAAATAAATGTCTGCAGGCTTTGCTTTCATGTAAACACCTGAAACCATGTTTGTAATGTCATTTTCTCTCCTCTCTTTTCTTCTAGGTGAAGGTGATGCACAAGCAGCTGCTTCTCTTCCATAATGCCATCTCCGCTTATTTTGCTGGCAACCAGCAGCAGTTAGAACAAACTCTTATACAGTTCAACGTAAAGTTAAAGCCCCCAGGATCAGATAAGCCATCGTGGCTGGAGGAGCAGTAATATGCATCCAGGGTTCAGCATTTTGACATGTACAGTTTCATGCTGGCATTGTGGTTAGATGGCGAGGAATTTAAATGGATAAAGGAGTATATTGTAGAATAAGTAGCAGCCAGATATAGCTCTTTTGTAATGTTTTTCAGTATGATTTATTACATAGATGGACAACTTTTTAAGTTGTTCTTATGTTGTTTTATGTTAAATCACAAAATTACCCTATGTTATTTTCTTACTCTTTAGTTAGCACAATCATTTCCATCACTTATATGTACAGGATAGTCAACTATTGTCGAGATTCTCCTTTGCAGTTTGCACATGCATTATTTTGATGTATTTGTATTGTTGTGTAAGGTTCCCTTTTAATATTTCAGTGTACATCAAATAGGAGGAATTCTTAAAAAGAACAGCAAGTCAGCAGGATACTGCTACAATGTTCAGAAATTGTATTTATTTTCCTTATGCACATGTGATCACGAGATCAATTTTAACACTTTTGAGTCAAACACATCAGAATATAGATTCATTTTTAAAATTGCCCCACTATGTTTCTACTGTCACTGTTATAATCCCTGCCTGAATGGTCAGTTTACAGTTTCTGTAGAGGGGGAATATATATACAGTAAATATATATATATATATATTTAGCAAACATGATTTTTCTCTAACCTAATATACAGTCATAATTATTTTACACCTAAATTTTGGATACAGTGTTAAATCAAGTCCAGCACCATTGCAACTATCTGTCTTTTTTACTCTGGAGTTTACACATGGAAACAAGCCTGAACAAACATGACATTTGTGTTTAACAGCAAATCCTCATCAATTCCTAATCTAATAAGATCTCAACAATCATAAAGAAATCCGTATCAAAACATGGCACGCAGCCAGTGTTGCAGTGACTGTAGGAGCTGGCATTGTGCAACTGCAAAACTTCCTTTTGAAATACCGAATGGGAATAGTGGATCAAGGTGCACTTTAGGTTACAGTACAAGTGTCAGCGTCTTCAAAAACAGAATGTATGAGTGCATTTGTTATAGTTTGCGTTATTTATTTACCTGTTTGTAACATAATTTGTATGTTACTTAGATTGTTTTAGTCAGCTGATTGTCTTTATCTTCTGCAAATCCAATAAAGTCTGCTGGATGTTTTGTTTCACTTAGATGTGCTTTCGACACAGGAGCTGTCAGTTTCGTATGGTTACAGTTCACAGTATGTATGTAAAGAAAACTCACAATATTCAGTATGTAATTTTAATTATGTACATGATAAAATATATCTGCAACATGCTTTCAGTGGATTACCTTATTTCTTATTCCTTAAAATACACTTTTTTTTTCTGAAAATGCGCTTAAGGTTTTTGATGTTGTTGGTTTGAAAGAATGAGACAGGGCGACCAGAAGTAGCCTAAAGAAACTGAATGTTTTCTTTGAGGTGGTGTATGCAGTGAATAAAGCCATCAATCTGTCAATATTAGAATCACAGACACGATTGCTTTTTCAAGCTTCTCTGCCATTAACACAAATAGCTTTTTAATGGTCGCAGTGCTCTCAGATAAAATCAGAATAAGAGATTAAGGTTAAGAGATTAGATTATAACACACTCTTATCTAATCTTACCTTTATAAGTTATATAATATGATAGTTTGTTGTGGTCACACATTTGGTCTTGTAATTAAGTCTTAAATATATTCTTTACTGTCAGTACCTTCAGACTTCCCTCAGTATAGCTTTCACTTCCTGCTTAAAATCTTATTTTATCCCACAGGTCATTTTCCATTGAAAAAGGATAAAAACATGCAAGTGTTCCTCAGTATCTGAGAAAATCCCATGGCTTGCATACTAACACTGTTTAACGCATTGCAGACAATTTGCGGGATGATTTGAAGTATCCATCTTGAAAAATGTTTATGTCAATTTTCTATCATAATATGACTTGCAGTCCTGTTTTATTAATGGGACTAAAGTTTTTAAGTACCGAGTCCCCAGCTCAGGGGTCCGATTGCGTTGTACGGATTTCCTTATATGGTCATCAGAGCTCAAACTGAGACATTTATTCGGAGGCGAAATCCTGTGGAATTTCGATAAATATACACCACGTAGAAAAAACAGTCGACTTAATTTGTATTACTGGTGTTAAATGTACTCTATTACACAAAAACAAATACACATTCTGGGCTTGTGACTGGTGAGCAATCCGTTATCGTTATCTGATAACGAGCATCTACGGAGCAAGGTTCAAGCAGTTTACCAAGAAGAAATGTTGGTGCTGGTCTCGGTCAAAATATGTACAGACAAATGTGAGAATTTAAGTTTTTCTTGTGGATTAAAATGTGAAATTATGCTAAAAAAAAATGGAGGGGGGAAGGAAGGGGTTGCGATGCTATCAAAGCGGCAAGTTATGTTTGCGGAAGTCAAACGAGACGCAGCCAATCAGAGCTGGACTTATTATACAGCTTACCTTTGTGAGAGAACTCCCATAATATAGAGTTAAAGCCTGAATATTAGTTGAAAATTAATATATATAATGAATTCAAATACATGACGGTCTCACCGCAGGAATATTTACTAAAGTATATAACATTTTATTTATTTTTAATTAAGTTGATAATATATTTATTACTTTTTACATATGTTCAATGGGTTTTCTCT